GGGAGAGCGGCCGCGCGGGACAGCGCCGGGCTCTGCTTCCAGCCGGGGCTGAGCGCGGGCAGGCGGTGAAGAGGGCCGCGGGCAGGGGAGGAACGAGCTTTTCAGGCTTCCAGCTGTTTCAGGCGCCAGACGTCGCATCTGGGCTGTTTAGCAGCATCAGTCTGCAAATTTCTCCAGTGTCTTTTTGGTGCTGGGGATATTTGCAGTCTCTCCAGCCAGCTCCTGTTTACCGTGATTTTACCCGAGCTGGACACAGAGCTGACGCACAGAAATCACCTCCCGTTGCTTGTGAGAAACGCTCACGAGTGGATGCTCATTTTTTTGCTCGCTGCTTCCCAGGCGTGATTGTATTCATCAGTCCGGAAAACGCTGCTGGGAGCAGCACGGCTGAGGCAAAGGAGGTGTCAGGCTTTGGGAAACGGCATTTGAAATAGATTATTTTTGATAGCTTCTGAATAGCCTTGGAGGCATTAGAGGTGAAGCTTTTAGCTTTATTCCATGATTGTGATGGCTGGGAAAAAATTGTACCTGAAAACTGAAATTGTGAGGAGTTCACGAGGCTCCAGCAGCTGGGGCTGCATGGAAACACTGAGCAGCAAAGAGGCAGCAGTGTGCAGGAGTTAGCAGGATATAAACTTCGTGGAAGAAATGTTTCGTTCTATTTAAAATTATGCCAGTTTTATTCTTTCAGCCATTTTTAACTCAATGGGTTTTTTTTTTTAATTCTACTTTTTCCCCTTTTTCTTTTTTTTCTGTCCCCTGCGCCCTCCAGGAAGGCAGCACACACAAATGCCAGAAAGTGCACAAAATGGGGGATGTGGCACCCATGGAGTACGTGAGCACGCGAGGAGGCCTGGGCGCCACGGACTTCGAAGGAGCCCTCTTTTCTGGCTTTGCTCCCGACGGGGGCCTCTTCATGCCCAGCGCCGTGCCCCGGCTCGACGTGCCCACGCTGCGACGCTGGAGCACCTTCTCCTACCCGCAGCTGGTGAAGGAGCTGTGCTCCCTCTTCGTCACTGCCGAGCTCATCCCCAGGAGCGTGCTGGATGGTAAACCTCGCCGCGGGGCCGTTTGCAGAGACACGGGCCAGGGGGCCGGGGCGTTGAACCTGCTGCTGTTCTCCCTGCCTGCACCCTCCTCATCCTTGCTGCACCCTGCAGCCCAGCGTGCAATTGTCCCTCTCCTTTCTCTACCCTTTTCCCCCGCTGTCGGCTTGCTGGGGCTTGGTTACCTTCTTGGAAATGTGCTGCTCCCCACCCGGCTGCAAACAGTGATTCTGGGGACTGCAATAGCGATTCTGCGGTTTGCAATAATGATTCTGGGAAAGCAACAGTGACTGCTGACACTGCATCCCCGCTTACTGCTGGAATAAAACTGCACCCCTCGAGGTGTTTGGCATGGCTGGCCAGCAGCGGCTGCAGCACCCGTGGGTTTCTCTGCTCTTTCTGGGCGTTTGACTGCACAAAAGTGCACGAAAAGGGGCATTTGCGGCATAGGACATCATGCACGGAAAAATATTTTGTCCCGTTTGGGCCGTCCAGCACAGAAGTGCCCCAGGGCTGTGCACAGCGACGGCAGGCACACGGTGAGCTGTGCCCACGTGCTGGCGCGGCAACAGGGCTGGGGGTCACCTGCAGAGAAAGAGCTGCCCTCTGCATAGGGCTTTTTGCTGCTTGATGCTCCTTCCGTGGTCCGATTTTTAATGTTTTTAACATTTAGCAGCTATTCTTTCCACCAGAGGGCAGCTATAACCTCCACGCTCATCAGTGCGTTAGGGTAAAATTTCTTTTATTTTTCTATTTTGACATAGTTGCCCTGATTGTCCTGGGGTTACTCAGTGAAGAGGTATTGCAGACAAAGGCTGATTTATGCCAGGATCAGACTCCTAAATAACTAAGAATAACATGTTGGATATCTGCTCGTCACCTCTCTAGCAGCAGAGCCTTGGGTTTTGCAGTGTGGCTCCCAGGAGGAATACGGACGATGAAAACTGCAGTCAGAAGTGTCCTCCTTGACCTATTCTAACCATCTCTCTACCCTCTCTTCCTCTAGACCTGATCGACAGAGCCTTCAGCCGGTTCAGACACAAGGACGTGGTCCATCTGTCCAGGCTGAAAGACGGGCTGAATGTATTGGAGCTCTGGCATGGGGCTACTTATGCTTTTAAGGACCTGTCCTTGTCCTGCACGGGGCAATTTTTACAGTATTTCTTGGAGAAAAACCAGAAGCACGTCACTATCCTAGTGGGTGAGTATCCTTCTTGGTGCAGGTAAAACTTCTGGGGTCTCTCTGGGCTGAGCATGGTTTAAGGACACTGCAAGGTCCGTTTGCTGCCAGCCTGGTGCTGGCACATCACCGAGCCTCTCTGGATGGAGCAGCCTTGGGGACCCACAGTTGCTGTTAAGCACAGGGGTGTCTCTGCTTCACCAGGAGAGCCACCAACTTGCAGAAGCCAGGGTGGTGTGATGGTGGCATCATGTCCTGGGTGGCTGGTGAGACACCCCTGGGCTGAATGCCATGGGTGCTGCTCTAGCCGAAAACATCCCAGGGAGCATCTCTGCACCTTTTTTTCTTTAGAGAGGGTGGTGATGCGGGTTGACAGAGCGACATTCATTTTTATTTGTTCTCCCTCACTTTGAAACAGGGACGTCAGGGGACACAGGGAGCTCAGCAATCGAGAGTGTGAGAGGGCAGAAGAACATGGACATCTTCGTTTTGCTGCCCCACGGGCTCTGCACCCAGATACAGGAGCTTCAGATGACCACTGTCATTGAAGAAAACGTCCACGTCTTTGCTGGTTGGCATTGCTGTGTGCTTTAGGGCCCCGCTGTGTCGAAAGCATGGCCTAAAGGTCTCATGGACGTAGTGGCACAAGCTACTCCTTTTGTGGCTGGATCATTAATGTTACAGTTGACTGGATGCCTGGTAAAAGGTGCCCTGGCAGAGGTTATTCTGGCCTCGATTTGAATTTTTTGAACCTAAAATATCTACAGGTGGTAGGAATGGAAAATATGCCGAAAGCAGAAACCACCCAAGCATCCATGCTGTGCTCCTCAACTGTAGCTTGCACAGTCCTGGCGCCAAGTCTGCAATTCGGGATGCCCCTCTGTGCAGTTAATCCTTGGCCCTGTGTCTAGACCCATTTCTGAACAGAAACACTCTGTGCCTAATTTGCTGATGTTGGTGCATCTAATCTGTCCTTTCTTCTTTTGACAGCTGATGGAAACAGCGATGAAATCGATGAGCCGATCAAGGAATTATTTGCTGATGCTGATTTTGCCATAAAACACAACCTGATGAGCTTGAATTCAGTCAACTGGTCGAGGATTATGGTGCAGGTTGCTCACCACTTCTTTGCTTACTTTCAGTGCGCACCATCCCTGGACACCATCCCCCTGCCTGTGGTGGAAATTGTTGTGCCAACAGGAGGAGGAGGAAATATCACAGGTGAAGGGAAAAATTAAGATCAGATGGGGAAAAGATAGGGTGCATTGTTATCTATGGACTAAACGCACTTTGCAAAAGATAGTCATTGCTGCTTATCAATATTAAAACACTCATTCTCCATTAGGAGTTCTTCAGAACCACTTATATTTTATTACTCATTTATGGTTATTACTCATTTAAGTGTCAGTGATGATTTGCAAGACGCAGAAAATCTGAAATTATCCTTTGATGATGATGGTAGGACTCCTAAGGGCGGGCACATGAAAAGTGGGCAGAGTGCGTTTCACCCTCAAGAGAGAGAAAAGATTGAGGCTCTGATTTCTTAAGTGAGACCTTAACAGAGCTGTGGAGTCCTGCCCAGTACTACCCTGGTTTGCACGGCAGTGCACTGTCAGGAGAACTGTTCGCTCCTGATTGCATAGCTCCAGCCATTTAAATGTGAATCTTTGATTGCCTCCATCTCGAAATAGGTATATAACTGTATTATGAAAGCCGTAAATGATTTTATTCGCTCAGGTGCATTCACTGTATTTCCAGGCCACCCATCTGAGGCAGCATTACTAAGCTGCAGGAGCCCAAAGGCTTCACCTCTCTTGCCTGAATGCAGGTGCCTGACCTCTTAGTCTGCTGCCATCCATCTTCAAATGTGGAGATGCTCAAAGGACCAGGGTTCAGTGGGCTGGCTTGGCAGGAGGAGCACTGCGGCCCAGGATTTTTTAATCTGGAGCTCTACTGAAGTACTAAAGATAGGTTGTAAGAGTTGTAGTAGAGAATGTCATTTCTGGCTGCTCCTGAAATAGATGCTCAATCAATTTGTGCAGTGTCTTCTTTACTAATCCTTTGAATGTTTCTTCCTCGAGCAGGCTTGTAATTTTTTGCTTGTTTTCTAGCTGGCTGTATCGCCCAGAAAATGGGTCTTCCAATCCACGTTGTTGCCGTGGTTAACAGTAATGACATCATTCATCGGACTGTTCAACTTGGAGATTTCTCCCTGTCGGGGGATGTGAAGGCTACGTTAGCATCAGCCATGGATATTCAGGTATTTAATGAATTGGTCAAAATGGGAAGAGATTGAATATTATATATTTTTATATTTCTTTTTCTTGCATTGTGTTCTACCTGGTTTATGAGGGCATAATTCTGCCATTGGGACTGTTTCTCAGCAATGAATTCAGAGGTGTGACTCATATTCAGCATTTATGCTGCACCCTGCTGTTGCTGAACTGAGATAGATCAAGCACCTTCTTCAAAGCTTCTTCATAGCTTTTCAGGGCTTGACTTTGTAACCGTCAGTGTTAATGCTGGGTTTCTGGGGTTTTGTTACGTGTCAGCTTAGAAAGAGATGGACTTTTTTCAAGGCTTCTGCGGCACTTAGAAAGGTATAAGTCCTGTTACGTCTCAGCGGCTCTGCCTGTGCTTGTGAAAGTCTCCACCAAGAAAAGGTACCAGGAGAAAGGTATTACCAAAGAAATGCCTCATCTACGGCCATCTGCAGTTTGCCCAGAGCAAAACATGTCCCAGCAGGCAGGCAAAGGCCTTAGAAATGGAAAGTCATGGAGGGACCGACAGCAAATGCCTAGAAGTCAACCCTTCTGTTTCATATCTACCCGGTGATCCATGGGCATTAGATCTGCTTCCAGAAAAATGACTGAGGTGTGAAAATACTTGGTGTCATATCACTAAGGCCTTAAACTGTTTGGATTTTCCAAATGCTGTTCAGACTCAATAGGAGGACCTTAGAAGATCGTTATGCCCCTATTACCAGGGCACTGTGGTCTGCAGCCTGAATTTCCTCCAGACGCATGAATTTCTAGGGCTCCTTGCAGACCTCAAGGGATGGCTGGGTTCCTCTCCTGTTTTGTGTCTCTTCAGCGGCACCAGACTTCTGAGGTCCTTCAGCTGTGCCAGGTTGAGATAGAGAGTGCAGGCAGCTGGGTAAGGTGACATCCAAAGATCCCCAAGGAGCTGCATAGGCATATCCCTCTTTGTGTTTTCCCCATGGCTATGTGGCCCATCATAGTTCAGCCCAAATATGAAGTGCCCATACAAACTCTTCAGTAGATCAGCAGTTCATCCTGGAGTGGACCTCAGGAGGTCTCTAGTCCAACTTCCTGCTCAAAGCAGGGTCAGCTATGAGGTTAGACCAGCTTGCTCAGGACTTGTTCCAGTTAAGTTTTGAAAATCTTCAAATGTGGAGACTACAATTTCTGTTGCCTCTTTTGCACACTAAATTAAAGCAGAGAAAGCCTCCTGCCTAGTCACTAGTGCTAAAGGTGAACTACAAAGTCTTTCTAGTGTGAATGAACCTTTTAAGGAGAAATTCTAGGAGAAGTGCAATAGGACACGCTGTGTCTTTGCAGCAAATGAAGCCAACCAGGGACTGTTCTCTGGCCCTGAGCTCAAGGAGCACCATACAGCTCATGCTCACATGCCTAAACTTTCCTCAGGAACACTCCCTAGCATGGACTATCCTCCAAACTGGGCCCAGGCAATCTCCTGGACAGTCCTAGCTGGTGTGGGAACAAAAGCAGACCAGAGAGCTGGCTAGTGAATAAATGGCAAGGCCAGTGCTCATATCAGTATCCTGGTCCTGTTTGATTCACTGGTGCAGATGTAGCGTTCTGTAGGGGAAGCCTCAAGGCTGGTACAAATGGAGTGTGACTGGGAAGGTCTGGGTGTGGGAGCAGCACGGGAACTGCAGGAAAAGGGCTTCAGGGCAGGTGCTGGAGGCACCTACAGTAGCAAGTCACCAGCATCCAGGCACGCTGGCAGGTAGCTTCTCAGAATACCAAGGTCAGGTTGACAGCCTAAAACAAGGGACAATCTAAAGCAAAGGGCTGACTACACTCAGACTAGAATGAAGATTATAGGCTGGAGTCCTTAGGAGGTGACAGTGGGAAGATGAAGAGCAGAGCTGGAGCGGTGAGATACCCAGATAAGGACATGAAAGGCTGAGTAAGTCCTAATGACTCACTGAGGTTGGACAGGACAGAGAGACAAAAGGTCACTGTCACTATCAGCTCCTAAAAGGAGTAAAGAGCACATCCAAAACCAGCACATGGTTGCAATGTAGGAACAACTGAGGAGGTGTGATGAGGCCTTGATAGCTGGTGTCCCTTGCCCTGTCTGTCCCTACAAGCTGTCCTGGTCAGCCCGCCGGGACACATGTTTCTTGGTGTTTGTGAGTATGTGGGAATGAGGCTGTGAGGTGTGAAACTGATTTTGCCTTAAAATAAAATCATCTTCACTCCTATACAGTCTTATGTTGAGTTTTGCTGCAGTGTCACAACACTGATTGCTACATAGCAAAACAGACCAGTCAGATCCTATATGTGCCTTATATGTTCATAAAGATTATCAGTTAACCCTGAAGGGAGCTGAGCGACTTACTAAGCCACAAAGGAGCACAACGACTCACAACTGCATCTGCAGCACTGGATAAACAGTTGGATATTTCCATTTCACAAGCACGTCGTGTTATTAGCCTGCTTTCCTCAAAGTAATTATACAGATGTAGTCACACTGCCTATTTGTCCATAGTTTTTCAAGCTGATGGTCGCTCGGAGAGGTCAGAAGTCTGAGAGACCTCAGGTGCCTACAAGGCTTGAGGAAATAGGTGTCCAGGCATGAAGCACAAATCCCACCACGGGCTCCACTGAGCAAAAGCTGCAACAGGAGCTCAACCCTAATTAAACATCAGAGAATCCACCCAGGTGCTCCCCACCGAGCAGAAATTCGTGGTTCTGCTGCTCATATGTTGCCCTGTTATTCTTCCTAGGAGCCTTACAACATGGAGAGGATCCTCTGGCTGGTTTCTGACGGCGACAGCAGCCTCATCAAAACTCTGATGGAACAATTCAGTGTGTCCAAAAGCCTCAAGCTCCCAGATGATTTGCACAGAAAGGTAAGTTCCTTTACACACGCACACACGCGCGTGCACGCACACATGTGTATAAGGAGATTTACTGCTGCCAATGGTTTCTGACTTGTTTCCAAAATAAAAAATTCAGCTTGCAGCGGCTCACGTTGAGGAGTTTCCAACCTAAAACGTGAGTGTTAGAAGAAAGGCTGGAGGAGAGGTTTTATATCAGACGTTAAAAAAAAAAACTTAAGAAAACACTTTCTTCTTAAAAAACTAATTCAAAAAAAACCCTACGATTATTTAGGTAGGATATGAAACCACCCCTTCCTTACAGACACCAGGCAGGTAGTAGCCACATTAACAGTGCATCGAGCACCCCGTCTGGGGCTGCTCCACGCGGCCGTTTCCTCCCCTTGCCGCGGTGGCCACCCCTATTTCCTCAGGCACGGGGTAACCCACACCCCGATTGCTCTGCAGCTTTGAGCCGCCCCGTTTATAACTTTTTTCTTGCCGTCTGCCCATGCTGCAAAAACCTCACTGGAAGCCCTGCTGAGCATCGCACGTGGCCGGGCTGTAGCGTGCTGCCGGCAGTTTGTCCTGGGCGAGCATCTCACTGCACTCCCGCTCCGCTCTCTCCAGCTCACGCGGGTACTGGGCTCGTGCGCGGCCTCCGACGAGGACATCGTGCGAGCGATGAGGCGCTGCTGGGACGAAAACCGCTACCTGTTGTGCCCCCACTCCGCGGTGGCTGCTCACTACCACTACGCGCAGCTGGACGGTGGGAGCCGCAGGTGAGCACCCGCTCCTGCAGAGCACCTCGTGTCGGTGGGGACAGCCGCCCCTCCGGCTCCGGGTGTGCTTCCCTCCGATGATGCCTTGCTTTTTTACAGCACGCCTCGGTGTTGCTTAGCCCCGGCCTCAGCGGCCAAGTTTCGGGATGCTGTGCTCAGAGCCGGCCTGGTTCCTGACGTCCCTCCTGAAATCAGTGCCTTAACAACGCTGGAGACCAGGTCAACCCCCTTGAAGAGCGGGGAGAATTGGGCAGAAACGCTCCGGGAGCAGATAGAAGATGTGGCCCAGCGGAGAAAGATGTAGGTGGGATCACAGGACACCGCTGCGTGGTCAGTTGCACGGACGTGGCCTGGATTTGTGCTATAAAGGCAAATGCACCCTAAGGCTCCTTTTCCATTTGAAGGAGAGATGTTTCTCTGAGAGACAAGTCCAGGCTCTCCATACGATGAGCTAGAGAATTATCCCGAAGCACATACTTTGAATTTTTTTGGAATTAAATAGATATTTTGCAAAATGGTCACGAAAAAGCTTTCTAACTATGTTATCCCTTTCATATAATTTCATAAAAGCCTGTTGAGGCTTTCAGAAAATGTGTTTGTCCTATCTTTGGTAGCCGTTATGGACAACTCCTTTAAAACGATCCACGATCATTAGCTTCCTGAACATTATTCAGTGAGTCTCATCCTGTATGTCTTGTTTCCTCGGAAAACCCACCTAAAAGCGTACTCCCACATGAGAGTACAGAGTTGTAATGACTTTCCTCTGAACAGCCACTTGGTGGAAATAACGCATATGAGTTACACCAGTAAAAAGCAGAGCTGAGCTGCAGTTACTAGATCATATTTCCATGGCGCTTTTACTGGTGAGAGCTATCGGTTGTTCTTCCTTCTCCAGCAAGCGCCCTGACTCGGGCATCTCCGTTGTTTTCAGTAGATCATAAAACATGGGGCCAGAGCAGTCCAAATAATTGGGCTGAGCGGACACCTTAATGCCTGTTCGCGTGTGGGCAACCTGCTTTCAAAAATGGCTTTGCCTAAATAGCAAAAAAAAAAAAAAAAGGTGTGTGGGGGGGAGAAGGCAGAGGGTAGCAAGGGACCTGCAGTGGGAGGTTTTTGCAAGCATCCCTAAAAGCGCAGGCTGAGCGTGGGGACGCATGGAAGAGCAGTAGGGATTGGGGGATGGTGCACGCCAGGAAGGGGCTTTTTGGCAGCTTCTGGTGTTAGGTTGGGTTGAAGATCATGCTGAGAAACTGGAATCACCGAGGAAGAAATGGGGTTCACTGAGCTGGTTTGCAAATCTTTGCAAGCAATGCAACAGTCTTGGGTCAGCTCACGTTTAATAGCCTAGCAACGTTACACTGAGAAATGTGTCTCCGTGCAATACCTACTAATACATCTGATAAAACTTAAAAAAAAAATCCATTTATTTAGCACCAATGCAACATGTGTTTCCATGGTACATCAGCTCCAGTTGCTTGGGCTGGGCTGGAAGGCTGCTGATCGAAACTCAGCACAGATTAAATTCGCAATAAAAATAAGTAGGATGGGCATTTGGAGAACCGCTTATCTTCTGTAAGGACTGTTTACTAGTGGTGATATAGCCATAACGGCCACGCTGGGGAAAAGCACTGTTAGGTAGCTGGTATTAAGCCACCTTGAAGCCAAGTGCTCCATGGGACCAGCAGTGCTGCAGTGGACATCGTAACTATAGCTGCTTCCTGGCCTTATACCTCGCTCCCGTGAGCTAAATCCTGCAGCAGGCGTTTCGTGGGCAACTTCCACTGAAACGAACAGGAAATGGGAAATTCCCCTTATCTGAAGACCGAAACTGCAGGTCTTTCAATACCACATTCCCATCATATACATATAAATATATAAATACCTCATGGGGGAGCTGCCTCCACAAGTCATGCAGCTGGCAGGAGTATCTTGTGCCTAAAAAGGAAAGAAAAAAATAGGAGTAATTACACCGGGGGGAAAAAATCCCCTTTTGCCATCAAAAAAAAAAAATTCCCTTTGACATCAAAGGAAGTCCGGTAACGGGAGCATTAATTTGAAGGGTTAGTGGCATTTAGCAGGGTAAAAGTAAAAATTCTGTGGGGTGAAGCAGCATGGCTTTTTTCCGACTGCACAGGAAGAAGGGGAAAACTTCGCCTGGACTAAAAGCTTTCTTCCTAGCACCCTGGCAGCCTTTTGCGCAGCTCTTGGAGGAGAGCGGCACAGGCTGCCTCCTTGCTCATGAAACCCCTCCAGGGAAGGAGGTGTCCGTGTCCCGGCACTGCAGGGACAGGGCTGCGCTCACCGCGGCTGCAAGGCTGGAGGGCCGATGTCCTGCTCGCCAAGCCGGTAAAATACCACTTATTTAAGCAACACTGCAGCCTCATCCTCAGCAATAACCCTAACAACCCCCCCCCCCAAAAAAAAAAAAAGGCTTTGCACCCGGGGCTATGCAGCAAGCAGCTGTTAATGCTGCTGGTGAGCAGCCCCCACAACCGTGCTGGGTATCCTCAGTTGGATCCTGCTCCTGCTTGCGCGCGTGTTATATGGGTTGGACTCCACCACTGTTAATAGCTGCCTGCCCAAATCCTGTGGTTCTCCGACAGGGCTGGCTGCCCAGCTGTAATTTAGCTCTTGAGTCATCATCTAAGACACCCTGCGAGGGGGTAGAGGCCCGAAAGGGCGCCGGCCCGGTGGACAGGAGGAACGGGAGGGCAGGAAAAGCTGCATAGATGTCTTAGAGGGTTGCAGAGAGGTTTCATTCCGGCAGAGGGCAATCCTCGGTCGTGTTTGAGCCTGTCCCGGCATGGCGCTGCTCGAGGTTTGGTCCTAACCTGACTTTGGTCCATCTCCTGGCATCTCTGCACAGGCACTGGCAGATCTCCCGGCTCACTCTGACTCCAGGGGTGGCTGCTGAAGCCAGACGGGGCTGCCTGTCACCAGAGGGATTTGCTCCCACCTCAGCAGCCCCCATCAGAGCCACCCCGGCTTCGATTTGATGGGGAGATGCAAAACGCATGGAGAAAACTCGTGCAGAAAGACCATGTGCTCAGCGATGCCGGGTGCCTCCTTGGCCCACCAGAGCAGGATGTGGAGGGCTGTGATGGCTTGAAGTGCTACTGGCTTTAACGAAATATCACTTCTGGGCCTTCCACAGCCGTTCACAAGCTCAGGCCGGACTTGTCCAATAATTTTGTCCAGAGAGAGAAAAAAAGTGGGAGGGAATAGGTGCTCACTCCGCAGCTGGAGGGTGAAGCTAAGCCAGCACTTCTTCAGCTCATACATCAGTGCTCATGTTTTACCCCAGCAAGGGGATAAGACACAGGTTAATCCTCAGCGGATTTGAACCACATGCCCCAGGCAGTAGCGATGCCCCTGAGCCTACGGCCATCCCCAACAGGGACCCCGGGTCTCGCCACCTTTGCCCATACTGGGCCCAACTGAAGGAGAGACAGGGGACACTGGCTGGATGACTGCTAACTTGTCCTTTCTTCTTTCTTTCTTGCCAGTGTGGTGGGAGCAAGTGTGGGAAAATGCACTGGGTAGACAGAGGAACGGGGTCGCCAGGGGCTCAGCAGAGGTTCCTACCCAATAAGGCGACTCAGACCAGCAGGACTGAAAGGCCGTGGCATCTCACGGCCGTTGGTTGGCTTGTCCGATTTGGGACTTGGGATGGGGACACTTGTCCCAAAGCACGTTGGGATCCATCCGACTAAGCCCGGGTCAAATGGGCTGAGTCTGTGAGGACCCTTGGGGGGACCCCTCGTTCCCTCAGTTGACCATGGCGGCGCGTCCTCCTGATTCCCGCATTGCCTCTGGAGGCCGGAAAGGAGGAGTCCGCAGTGCAGTGAATTATAAGCCAGTTCCTTAAAATAGTGTTCTGAAGGTTTGGGAGTTGAATTATTATTTATAATTCCCTAGGGACGCTGTGTAATTTATGGACAGGTATGAAGACAAGTAGGCCCTCAGACATGGGGATGAGCCTAATGTAAATGCTGAGATAGAAAGACAGATAGATGAATAGATGAAGATAAGCTTCTTGGCTGGGAGAGTTGGAGACTGAAGGGCCTGCTCCTATAGATCTTTGCTGTCCTAGGATAATAGGTACCATCCCAGTACTCCCACTCCATAAAAAGTCATCCCGAACCTGGTGCAAATGGTTTGTTTACTCTTCTTTAAATTAATTTATACCATGTGCAAGGAAAAAAAAAAGAAAAAAAAAAGGAGTTGCTTTGTTGTTGCAATTTGCTGCTAGGCATTCCTATGTGTGCTAATGATAAGTATTAATTAAATAGCTTGCTGTTGTCTTTTAAATGCAGCTCTTTCAGGCTGTAATTAAACACAGACACCCAGCCCTTTCTGTCTGCATAGAGAGAGGCAGGCAGGCAGGCCTCTGGAGCTCTAGACTTCTTCCATTTTAGCAGGAGAGAAGTGGAAAATGAGGCAAAACCAGTTTCCACTGAAAACTCACCACACCATGCGTGTGTGTCCTTCATGGAGAAGGCAACCAGGTAAAGGAAATTAAAGGAGTACAACTTCCAAGATACCAGCCCTGCAATCAAAGGAAGTTTATACGCCCTTAAGATTTGGCAGCTTCATACACTTTAAAGGCAGAAGAGATCACTTCGTTTGATCTCTTCCCATACCACGCAGGCTATTGAATATCACTCTTTTGTATTCACTGAACCCAGCAGCCTGTTGGCTCATGAACATCTTGATCAGAAGAGGTTCGGAGGCCAAGTCCTAAAGATCTTAAAATATGAGCCTGGACTCTTAAAATATGAACTTAGCATAAAAGTGCTCTAACAATGCAGATAAAAATACAGATGCTCCCATGGTAGACGGCAAGTCCCCCAATGCAGTTTGCCACATGTCCATAATGTTGAACTGTCTCTACACCCAATGTTATCTCTGCCCTCAAAAGCAACTGGACTTAATTCATCTAAAAGCCTGTTGCTGATAAATAAATATATGCACTTATATTGGGCATCTGGCTGTATTATTAGACGACAAGAGCACCAGCTAGCTTGCAAGTGAAGACATTGCTGCCCTGGAGGACCCACTAGTTGACGTTGTGCTGTGGTGGCATGATAGAAGAAACATTTCTCTCTCCTAGCTGCTGCCAGAGGCAGCCAGAGGGAGAAAAGGAAGCTCAAAGAGACTTGAGTTAACACCTGCCAGTCACCCAAAATCCATGTGAGCAACCTCTTGCCATACCTGTTCCTCACATGGGCAACCACACGGACTGTGACGGTGAGGAGCTTGGCTGCAGAGGAGACATCTGGACTCTGTTCCACAGCTATTAAAAAAAAGGATTTTTTTTTTTTTAATAGAAACATTAAAGACTATATTTATGTGATTTCTAACCCAAGATCTGCAGAGTATGATAATAAAGATCATAAAGTATCTGGAGTTGGCCATGTTGCCTACTGGTAAGGGGATCCTGGCCTTGACGCAACGTAGCTCTTGGGCGCCTCAAGTGATGCGACGCCTCTCAGCCTTTTGCTGCTCGGAGGGTCCCCAGTGTTGCCCAAAGACACTCATGGCCCTGCTGGGCATCAATTTGCAACCAGACAACCACAAGGCTGAATTTGCTGCCTGCTTTTCCTGGTCCTTGTGTCTTCGCTCTTCCCTCCGCTCTCCAGCCCAGGGAGAGGAGCTGCAGCTAGAGTGGACGCAAGGCCAGTGTGTGTCTGAACGGGGCCAGATAAGGCACCCATGGGATATGCGAAACGCGGGCTGGGTCTGGGGAGGCCTTTCCACCTGCCTCCACTGGAGCATCCATTGTGCCTGTCAAGCCAGCAGCGGTCAAACTGGAATTTTTCTTTACAAAGTGGATATTTTTTTCTGATTGTTCGCAGTTTTGAAATGAAGTAGCAGGGAGGAAAAGGAAAAGCTAACTTCCCTTTAGAAATTAAATACTTAATTTAAAAAGAAGTTGGATTTGCATGGGACTATTTTGAGTAAAATGCTTTGTTTCGCCGGAAGTTAGTTAGTTTTG